TTGTGTGGTGACTTTCAGTTGCGACTCAGTTTTCATTAATCTCTACAGTAAGTTACAAAAGAAATCCGTTTTCGTGAAACTCTCTTGTACCCTTCTAGGCAATTTTTCGATCGTCAGTCAAAGTTTGTTTCTTTAGGTTTACGTTTTAAAAAGCATGACCCGGTATGTATAATTCCAATTTGAATCTTTTGGTGAACGGGTCTGTCGCAAACGCTGCAAATCGCAGTGTGTCCTCGTAAACACGCCATAAACCTTTGTTCGAATCCCATGTTTGCGGACATGTATATTTTCTCTTCACCGCACCCGTGCTGGAATACTGCTAAAAGCTCATTCATTTCGAATATGATTGACTGACGGAGTTTTGTTTTACGCCGCTTTTAGTAATATTCCAGCAACATCACGGCGGGGGACACCAGAAAGGGGCTTCACACATTGTACCCATGTGGGGATTCGAACCCGGGTCTTCGGCGTGACGAGCCCACGCTTTAACCATTAGGCTACCCTACAGCCCCATTTCGAATATGAAATGGCCGACCTCTCATGGGACTTGGACGAGATAACGGGTATTCTGTAATCAAAACCTCACTAACGTGTCGATCAATACAGATTAATTCTGTAACATTCTGCACACTTTCCACAAGCTACCCCCTATGTAAGCAAGATTATGTATGTTATGTGTATGTCAATATGCACACACACACGCACACACAACTACTACCACTGTGAAATATAGTAACTATGTTTATATAAGGTACCTTATCTCAACCTGAACAACCTAACGTCAACGAGGCCAGTTGTAGGTTGTCGTCACTATAACGGGTACATGACGTAGGGGTCTTTCAATTGGGGGAATGTTGTCAAGCGGGATTTGCGTCGGTGACGTGTTTCAAACCGTTCACTGGTTTAAGCCAGTGCGCGAGAGGGTGTCAGTCGGATCGTATGACAATGCTCATGGCTTGTGACCGAGTCGGCCAGAAGACTGATAAGACTGTCACGTGTTGAAAACGACAGAAGTAAGATATTCAGGTATGTTTATTTATTTGCCGGTGAAATTTACTCTAATGATCTGCATTGTAGGTATCGTGTGGATTTGCGTAACATTGTGAAAATGGGTGATGTGTGTCGTGGCATGTGCAGTTATTAATATCATAACATTTATTACATTTATAATGTTGGGTTTGACATGTCAACCCTGTCGGCGACACACAATGTTTATATATAAATTATATATTCTTAAATATTGTAAGAAATCTTATATTGTCTCGGTAGTTCCTATTGTGAATTATTGGACACAATGCAAATTTGAATTAACAAAGCATTTGACAAAGACGAAGCCGATTGGGGATTATTTTGCTGTTTTTGTGTTATTCGATGTATATGATGTATTCGCTTGGTTCCTTTACATGCGGTGCGTTCGTGTGTGTGTGCGCGTGCGTGCGTGTGCGTGTGTGAGAGAGAGTAACGGTGTGTACGTGTCCATAAATGTCGATTTGTGTGTGTGTCACATGGTCGTATGCGTTGGTGATAACGAGTTTGTGTTGCTACGTAAGGGTGTGTATGATTGTATTGGAGTTGAATATATTTCTCTGATGTTTCTAACAAACTATTTAACTAAACTATTGTCCTTATTTTCCGTGGAGAGCGGAAGGTCGCGGGTTCGATCCCCGACCGCGTCATACCAAAAAGACGTTAAAATATGGTACTTGTTGGTCCCTGCCTGGCGCTCGACATTAATGGGTACAACAAGGACTGGTCGGCTCGGAGTCAGTATAATGTGTCTGAGTGGGGTATTCATGCTTCACTGCGGCATGGTATCTCAGTGGACTAGCACTATAAAACCAGCTTAAGTCTGGGCTAGTACAAGCAGCCGCACATACACATACACACGCATGCACGTCGTCATATGAGCGAAATATTCTCAAACACGACGTTAAACCCAATTTCACCTCACCTCACCTATTTAACTATTATCCTTATTTTCCGTAAAACCTCCTATTCATTGTTTCACTACAGTTAAAGCGTTGGCTCGTCACGCCGAAGACCCGGGTTCGATTCCCCACATGGGCACAATGTGTTAAGCCCATTTCTGGTGTCCCCCGCCGTGATATTGCTGGAATATTGCTAAAAGCGGCGTAAAACCAAACTCAGTCAGTCAGTCAGTTTCACTACAGCAACATACTATTAATTTGGACAATTTTAACAAGCTTCAAAATCTTCATTTAGTAAAAGCTCCGTTTTAGGTTTGGGGGTCATATACATATTTCGTTTTTGTCATGTAAGCAGTTCTAATTAAGCTATCTCCAGTACGAGGTTCGTATGACATCAGCAATTAGGAGGTTCAATGACCTTAGTTGTGTAATTATATTGTGTATGATATGAGCATGATTCGTATAAAAAGACATTCTATTTTTTGCATTTCCAAAGATGATGCTTGTCACACTACGAATGACTTTCTCGGGCACATGTTTCCATAACTGTGTACTGCAATAGATCTAGATCTAAATATATTTTGTTAATAATTCTTGTATATTTCATTATATATTTTTTAGATCTTGAAATATTTTGAAGAGCTTAGATTCTTTCGCTGCACAGAAATGCTTAAGAAAGAACATTTTCCCTTAAATATGTAGCCTTTGTAATTTTATACCACTTAGGAATGTTCTGAAATGGTAGATTAAATTTGTTTGGTTGTTGTTTTACTGTTTTACGCCACACTCAGCAATATTCCAGCTATATGGCGGGGTAGGTTAAGACAGTCCGATCGATTATTTATTTCTCAAGTCAAAACATTGATCACACAACTGTCTCGTTTCCAGCTGACTGGGGGGCGGTGGGGTTAGCCTAATGGTTAAAGGTGAGGTGAGGTGAAATTGGGTTTAACGTCGTGCTTGAGAATATTTCGCTCATATGACGACGTGCATGCGTGTGTATGTGTATGTGCGGCTGCTTGTACTAGCCCAGACTTAAGCTGGTTTTATAGTGCTAGCTCACATTATACTGACTCCGAGCCGACCAGTCCTTGTTGTACCCATTAATGCCGAGCGCCAGGCAGGGAACAACAAGTACCATATTTTAACGTCTTTTGGTATGACGCGGTCGGGGATCGAACCCGCGACCTTCCGCTCTCCGGGCGGACGCTCTAACCACTACACCACGGAGGCGGTCTTAATGGTTAAAGCGTTGGCTCGTCACACCGAAGACCGGGTTCGAATCCCCACATGGGTACAATGTGTGAAGCCCATTTCTGGTGTCTCCCGCCGTGATGTTGCTGGAATGTTACTAAAAGCGGCGTAAAACCAAACTCAATCAGTCAGTCCTGCTGACTGGGTTCCGTCTTATTGCGCAACTTAGTACAATAACCAGTTCAGAATTTTGAGACAAACTCATTCAGCTGGATATATAGATGTAAATCAGTATTATTTGATACATCTAATCACTTGTATATTGCAACACTACGCTCCTTCTAGTAATCTTGAAATTGTGGAAATCTCAAAACGAGGCTCGACCGCAGGAAATATTTCGCGGTCGTTTACTGCCTTGACATTATATCAATCACATTGTACGTTACAAAAATACACTTAATAAGCGCAAAGAACACGTGACAGGTGTAACCAGTGAGCCGGAGGAATTGTGGATCGTTGTACGACCTCTTCTAACAGGGGCAGTCTGTGACGTCTTAGTTTACGATATGCTGCCTACTCCTCGACATAAAATATATAATTACGATTTTAGTAAACTTTAAAATTAATATTAATTTGTAAATACCATTTATTTATGAAGCAATAATTCGAATTCAGTGTAACCATAGTTGTTTGTAGTGTCTCTTTTCACGTTCACACGAGAAAAATAGGATCGGCTGAAAAGTAGGTCATTGTGAATGTCTGAATTCGTTAATGAGATTCATCTTTCAGTTTGTACCTTATGAGGGCGGTGGGGTAGCCTAGTGGTTAAAGCATTCATCATCACGCCGAAGTGAGTTAGTGAGTTTAGTTTTACGCCGCACCCAGCAATATTCCAGCTATATGACGGCGGTCTGTAAACAATCGAGTCTGGACCAGACAATCCATTGATCAACAGCATGAGCATCAATCTGCGCAATTGGGATACAATGACATGTGTCAACCAAATCAGCGAGACTGACCACCTGATCCCGTTAATCACCTCTTACGACAAGCATGAGTTACTGAAGATCAATTCTTACCCGGATCTTCACGGGTCTAGTCACGCTGAAGACCTGGGTTCCATTCCCTTACATGGGTACAATGCGTGAAGTCCATTTCCTGTGTCCCTCCGCCGTGATATTGGTGGAACATTGCGAAAAGCGGCGTAAAACCATTCTCCTTTTACCTTATGGGTGGGAATTTACTGTCCAAAACGACTTCCGTGGGTCATGACTTAAGAAATAGTTCATTGTCATAGATAAGGTCAGGGTTAAATTCTGTTTGGGATTCAGCACATTGCTGACCTGATTTAGATCTCCCATATTGCTGTATATGTTGACAGAGCGCATTTACAGGATGTTTATATTTCCATTGGTATGTTGTATTCCGTACTCAAAATTTATTTTACAGTTTTAAAACGCCCGAGAAGATGCATATTATCTTACTGTTTGATCTTTATTCGTTTTACGTTCAAATAAGAATACATAACCTTTTAGTCTGTCATACAGACCCTGAAAATATACCCAGTTGCAGCCCATGCACGTCTAGAATGTGTCGCAAGTATAGATTACTGTTGTATTTATAATTTTGATTTAAAACTTTTATTTTCTGTAAAATGTGTTCATTTCAGAGACTAGCTGTTAGTCTAATAACCTTTGTAATAGTGCAGGGCGGTAGGGTAGCCTAGTGGTTAAAGTGTTGGCTCGTCACGCCGAAGACCCGGGTTCGAATACCCACATGGGTACAATGTGTGAAGCCCATTTCTGGTGTCTCCCGCCGTGATGTTGCTGGAATATTACTAAAAGCGGCGTAAAACCAAACTCAATCAGTCAGTCCTGCTGACTGGGTTCCGTCTTATTGCGCAACTTAGTACAATAACCAGTTCAGAATTTTGAGACGAACTCATTCAGCTGGATATATAGATGTGAATCAGTATTATTTGATACATCTAATCACTTGTATATTGCAACACTACGCTCCTTCTAGTAATCTTGAAATTGTGGAAATCTCAAAACGAGGCTCGACCGCAGGAAATATTTCTCGGTCGTTTACTGCCTTGACATTATATCAATCACATTGTACGTTACAAAAATACACTTAATAAGCGCAAAGAACACGTGACAGGTGTAACCAGTGAGCCAGATGAATTGTGGATCATTGTACGACCTCTTCTAACAGGGGCAGTCTGTGACGTCTTGGTTTACCACATGCTGCCTACTCCTCGACATAAAATATAGAATTACGATTTTAGTAAACATTAAAATTAAGATTAATTTGTAAATACCATTTATTTATGAAGCAATAATTCGAATTCAGTGTAACCATAGTTGTTTGTAGTGTCTCTTTTCACGTTCACACGAGAAAAATAGGATCGGCTGAAAAGTAGGTCATTGTCTGAATTCGTTAATGAGATTCATCTTTCAGTTTGTACCTTATGATGGCGGTGGGGTAGCCTAGTGGTTAAAGCATTCATCATCACGCCGAAGTGAGTTAGTGAGTTTAGTTTTACGCCGCACCCAGCAATATTCCAGCTATATGACGGCGGTCTGTAAATAATCGAGTCTGGACCAGACAATCCAGTGATCAACAGCATGAGCATCAATCTGCGCAATTGGGATACAATGACATGTGTCAACCAAATCAGCGAGACTGACCACCTGATCCCGTTAATCTCCTCTTACGACAAGCATGAGTTACTGAAGATCAATTCTTACCCGGATCTTCACGGGTCTAGTCACGCTGAAGACCTGGGTTCCATTCCCTTACATGGGTACAATGCGTGAAGTCCATTTCCTGTGTCCCTCCGCCGTGATATTGGTGGAACATTGCGAAAAGCGGCGTAAAACCATTCTCCTTTTACCTTATGGGTGGGAATTTACTGTCCAAAACGACTTCCGTGGGTCATGATTTAAGAAATAGTTCATTGTCATAGATAAGGTCAGGGTTAAATTCTGTTTGGGATTCGGCACATTGCTGACCTGATTTAGATCTCCCATATTGCTGTATATGTTGACAGAGCGCATTTACAGGATGTTTATATTTCCATTGGTATGTTGTATTCCGTACTCAAAATTTATTTACAGTTTTAAAACGCCCGAGAAGATGCATATTATCTTACTGTTTGATCTTTATTCGTTTTACGTTCAAATAAGAATACATAACCTTTTAGTCTGTCATACAGACCCTGAAAATATACCCAGTGCAGCCCATGCACGTCTAGAATGTGTAGCAAGTATAGATTACTGTTGTATTTATAACTTTTATTTTCTGTAAAATGTGTTCATTTCAGAGACTAGCTGTTAGTCTAATAACCTTTGTAATAGTGCAGGGCGGTGGGGTAGCCTAGTGGTTAAAGTGTTGGCTCGTCACGCCGAAGACCCGGGTTCGAATACCCACATGGGTACAATGTGTGAAGCCCATTTCTGGTGTCCCCCGCCGTGATGTTGCTGGAATATTGCTAAAAGCGGCGTAAAACCAAACTCACTCAGTTGTATTAGTGCACCTACGGTTCTTTCTAGTCCATATTTAGTCCACTTTAATCCTGTTAGTGTCATTATTTGTTCCCTGAAATACTGGATAAAATGTTTTGACGCAGGGGTTAATTGTAACAAATAAATTGTCATCCGGAGTTTCAGTGGGTATGTGAACATGCGTTGTTAATGTAATGTGCTCGCCTTCAGAAAGTATACAAATTATCATTCGAGAGTGACCCAAAACCTATCACAGAAGTCGAAACACACGCTTCTCATTACACCTGCAGTTACTCATCTGTTCACATCGCGAGAGATGGTTGGTTAGTCTCGTGGTTAGAGCGTTCGCTCGTCAGCCTAAGCCCCAGGTTCGATTCCCCATATGGGTACAATGTGTGAAACCCATATCTGGTGTCCCCGCCGTGATATTGCTGGAGTATGGCTAAAAGTTGCGTAAAACAATACTCACTCACTCTGTAACATTTTGTTTTCTCAACTCCCCAGGAGTACACGGCAAAAGATTCGTATGGTGTGTGAGGACGTTTTCCATTCAAATCTCGTCCTACCTGTCCACCGTTAGGTGTAGGTACTTTAACATCGCATGTCCGGGGTTACAGTTCGGCAGAACGTGACATGTATGGAGTCTATGGACACCTCACGGTATGCTCGCATGTTATGTTAAAGGCACAACGTCACACAATTTCGACAATATTGTCGCCTATATTTTATATATTGCGGGCATATGCACTCACTTTAGCTTCCTATTGATGCAATAAAAGACCTATCATCCCTTACGACTTGCCTGAAATAATCATTGAAACTTCGAGGCGAACAGCTTCCAAACAGATAACCCTTCCTATAAATGGAATGTAAACGAATTGCTCCGTACATCGAAAACTGTCGCACGCGGTGTTGGCCGATATGACCTCAATCACGAGTGGCGTTGTAGGATATTCGTAAAGAGCGTTCCAAGGGACATAACTCTGTTCGCTTCAAATAATGGTCGGTCGGTAGGTAGAGGGCGCGTGACTAGATTTAATGCAGTGTGGCATTAATTCATTCGAACTTTTAAAATTAAAATTAAAATCTAAACACAAAATTGTTTTTGGAATAAATTATATGGTGGCTTTCCCTGAGAGCTGATGGTTAGTATTATTGAGAGAAATGCAATATTTATTTTTAGAGAAATGTGGTGTGACATTGTGCCTTTAAGTACTGGCTAAAACGTTCGCCCCTCACGCAGAGGGCCGGGTTCGATTCCCCAGGTGGGAACAATGTATGAAACCCATTTCTCGTGCCCCCGCCGTGGTATTGCTGGAATATCGCTAAAAGCGTCATAAACTATACTCGCTCTCTAGTATGTTAATAGACTAACAGCTAGTCTCTATAATGAACATATTTTACACAAAATAAAAGTTTTTAAATTAAAATTATAAATACAATAAAAGGAGCCCAGAGACTTTCTTCATTTTCAGAAGCTGTGGCTATCAATTGTAGATTTGCCACATTTTCTAGACTTGCGTGGGCTTTCTTGGATATATTTGCTTCAGGCTCTGTATGGCAGACTAGTACGACAGGTAAATATTACATTTTATGGTTTCAGATGAAGTACAGGTCCCTATGGCTGCTGATACTGTTCATTGGAGCCCTGCTGCTGTTCTACACACAGTTCTACACCGGCGGAATAGGCCTCGCAACAGCCCTACGGAAAAACAACACTGACCAGTACGTCGTGTACGTGTGTGATGGCAGCTTCCCATGCGGTGGATGGGCCGACAGACAGAAGGGCATCGTCTCGGCCTACGTTCTGGCCCAAATGTTGGGCCGGAAGTTCAGGGTCAGGATAACGACCCCATGTGCTCTGTCAACGCACCTAGCGGGGAACTTGCAACCATGGGAGATAACTCCGAAAGAACTGGATGGCTTGAGCGTGAAACACGTGAAGGAGATTGACAAGAGTGCGGACAGCTTGCGAAAGAAAATGTCTTCCCTTGATCTCATATCCGAGTTTCCAGAGGATGTGGTGTATTTCACGAGTAATATGGAATATGTAGAGTATCTTATAAAGAACCCGCGTTACTCCAACCAAACAGAATGGATGCGGAAATCGCGAGTAGCGGATGTGTATATAGACACGCTGAAAAAGTTATTCAAACTTAAGCCAAACCTTGAACGGAGATTGTCCAACTTCACCTCCCGGGTACCCAGAGAAAAGGGAGTGAAGTTGGCCTGTGCGCAAGTCCGTTTGGGTAAGAATCCCACCGTCCCTACAGACACCGAGCAATTCAATTCATTCGAGAGTGTGAAAGCAGTGTGGGATTTCCTTAAGCCATACAATGATGTTTCCAAATATCGGATATTCGTGACTTCCGATTCCGAAGACGTCCGGAAAGCCGCGAAGACGGTGTTTCCGGAAAACGATAGTGGACATGGAGGGTAACATTGTGCACGTTGAAAGAACGAATGGCGCCAGTGTGTGTGATGGTTTTGCTAAGGTGATACTGGACCAGTTGATTTTGTCCACGTGTGATGTTCTCGTCATCAGCAGGAGCGGCCTCGCCCGCATCGCTGCATGGTACAGAGGAAGGAAGGAAGATGTGTATTGTTTCTCAAAGGCAAACGTAACGCCTTGTAACCCATACGATCTGAAAGCTTTCATTCCAAGTTGGTAAGGTGCAATGACTGTGTTGCTGCATAGCCTTAAGCCATACCTTAAATGGTAAATACTTGAACTTTTTTTCAGATTCGAATCTCACGTTTTTCACCCAGCTACGAGTGTGATATGGTTGGTTGGATGAGTTAGTAAAACATCGCTAACTATTGTGAAGCTTGATGCAAATTGTGAGCCAGATTTCGGGTATTGTGATCCAAAATGCTGGTCAAATTTGTGGATTGCCAAACAAAATCGTAGCTTGTTTTGTGCGGGCTTTGATGTAGAGTTTAGTGCCTGGAAAGTGCAATGTGTTATGAGTGAGGTATAGATTTAGGTCACCTGGGCAGCAGTGTAGCCATATTATAACTAGATTTTGGATTCAAGGTTTCCATTAAATCTTGAGGACTGTGCTGCAAAATGTCGCTCAAATATTCGAAAAGCGTTTGTCCCATCTCAGAAGTGACAAACACTTCCAGTCATCCTGGAAAGATAATTTGGTTATTTAGCAGCATATGAATGAGTTTCCCGTATTTGATATCATCTCCGTTAGTCATGATCTTAGGCACCACGATCACAGAAGGTGCTGGTATCGTCCCTGACACAGTAGAGATGTACAAGGCAGTACTAATGGAAGATGACGAGGCACTGACGTAGCTCTTGAATGAGTATGGTTTTGTGCCGCTTGTAGCAATATTCCAGTAATATCACGACGGGGGACTCCAGAAATTACTATGTGTAAAGCCTAATGATGGTTCCCCCGTGATGTTGATGGAATAATGCAAAACACGATGTGAAACCTTATTCACTCACTAACTTAATCAATCGGACGGAAACGTTCCGCTACTAGGTCTCTTAACGTGTAAATAGGTGGGTAAGTGCACGATATTACCCGCTCTACTAACACATCTTATACCGATTCGAGGTGACACGGTGTCGTGGTGAAGATCTTCTCCCTAAACATCTGAACGATCATTTTAAGGTGCCACTCGTTCATTTGAACCTTAATTCAAAGTCTACTTTGAGTCCGCTAATAATCTGATGTCATAATATACGTGATGTAGGCACAAGGGCAGGGTAATTTAATATGTATTGAATATTGAGCCATTTTGTATTATGCTACAGCTCCGAGCGTATTACTTACTTACCCTTGGAAATAATCTAATAAATATGCAGGACGGTACAGTAAACTGACATATTTTGATCTACTGATATGACTTATGAGTTGTGGATGTACTGAGCATAAATGAACTCTCAAATGAAGCAGACTATTCAATATTTTCAAGGATGGGATAGTGTACTCAAGTTTAATTGTATTCGCAATTTTATAGAGTGATTGATGTCCCAAGAGGACGGGAATTATGTCACGGAATTTTGCGTTGAAATCAGACCGAACTATCTAGTCTTGCGATATATTTCTGTTCCGACAATAGCCAGGATTGTTTTGGCATGTGTTATCTCATTACATATCGGTGACACTATCCATGCTACATACTGTCAGTGACTTATTGGCTGCTCTGAATAATGACATACCGCAGATGACAAGCTCCTTTGTTTCAACGGCTTTATCCTTGGCCGTATCCCTGTATAAGTTAATAATGTTAAGGTGTGATTGAATGGCTATATATATGTTTATAGTCCCGAGGGTGTATTTGATCCAGCTTTGTTTAATTGAAAGGAGGGAACTGTCTACGTTCCTAAGTGTGTATTTCAATTAGTCATGTTAGAAAAAGTCGACAGTCTTTAGAATGAATGCTCATCTACCCCGCCCAGACTGTCACGGGTTATATGTTAAAGAAAGCAATGCGTAGCGCCGCTCTAGTCACTAATCTATACAGGTACCTTGCACCCCTAAGTACCAGGTACCATGTACCCATAAGTGGTTCCTGTAGCACCTGTGATACACACGAGTGCCTTCATTGCATATCCCACTTTGTATACTGACAGAATAATGTTAGTTTCACTGACTTGTACTCCGTTTTATTGTTGAATTCCCTGTGTCAGTTTTTTAAAATAACTCTGCCCATTTTCTGTTGGGTTATTGAGCACAAATGGTGCAGTCATGTAAAATGCTGTAATTGGGGTCGTGCAGAGTTATTTCCATTACATGCGCTTGAAACGTAAAATCATTGGCTGGAATCCAGGGTTCAAGTGAAGGGCAGGTAGTTCCTGTGCCATTTCAGAACGGCATAATTTTTGTTCACGCAGCTAAGTGCATGTACCAGCAATGTATGTGTTTGCTGTAGAAAATGTCACATCCGTTGTTTTCAGAAAGGAGAAAGACCTAGGTACCGTTCCTCAAAGCGATCGTAGCGCTAAGTTGATCGTAACGCCTATACTCTAACATAGACTTACGACTGTCGTAGCGCTACGATCGCTTTCAGGAACGGGGCCCTGGCTGTGTAGAGAAAGACTGCTAGCCGACTCTGGTCCCGAATTATGTTTCTAAGTGGCATCGCCTCGGGATTTTTCCCAACATCAAGCAGACCCACCATGACTGAAATATTGTTCAACGAGGCGTGAAACCAGCTAAGAATAATTTCAAATTCAGCACTATCAGTTTACAACCCCAGCATGTATGATATGAGTATACTTGCTTACATATCTGGTACATCTCACATTTGTTAAAACAGTTCACGGAAGCTGTTTTACCTCTTTCACAGTAAAAGATTGAAAACATATTCAATCTGGCCACGGTATAAGCGATAAGGCACATATCACCCACATCCCCACATTGACGATATCCTGTTCTCGCGAGATTTCCAAACTGTTAAGAGAACGAGGCTCGAGGGCCAAGTCAAAACGAGGTTCGTGGGTTAACCGGAAGCGTATAATTGAACCCGCAGTATCTTATTCCTCTGCTTTTCTTTCAGAGAATCTTTTCACATCACTTTTCACTTTTCAGCGGGATGTAGCTCTGGGGTAATTCCCCTTTGACATAATAATTTTATTCGTTTCTCCCCATCTGATTTACTGATTGATTATTGTATTGTTCGTGACGTGTTTACGTTTATGGAAAGATCATTATCATTCGCTATCACATTTGACATGTTTGAAGTTAGAAGTACTGTAACAGGTTGCCAGTGGCCATTACTTGCCATTTGTTTACTGGAGTAACATCTGATTAATTTATCAACGTAACGTAACGCAGCCCAACATTTCATCAGTACGTCACGAGTTTGTGTGTAGTTGCTGGCTAAACCTCAGGGGCCGTGGGGTAGCCTAGTGGTTATAGCGTTCGCTCGTCACACCAAAGACCAGGGTTCGATCCCCCACATGGGTACAATGTGTGAAGCCCATTTCTGGTGTCCCCCGTCGTGATATTACTGAAATATTGCTAAAAGCAGCGTAAAAGATTATCACTAAGTCTTTAAGAGTGAGTGTATCACTAATAGCTATATCACAGCGGTCTGTAGATAAATCTGGACAAAGAGGCAGATTATTGTTGGACGCGAGCATTGATCCACGCAGATGGGATACGATAGCCTCCAATCCATTCAGTCTACATGCTCCGGTTGCTAAGGACCCATAATATTGTCCTTTCTCTTCACAGGGTGGCTTGTGAAGAAAACGATGTTCAGGCTCACTAACTTGGTTGACACATGCCATTCCAATTGCCTAACTCGATGTTCGTAATGTCCGTCACTGGATTGTCTGGTCCAGATTATTCACTGACCAATGTGATGTAGCTTTAATATTGCCGAGTGCGGCATTAAACGACAAACAAATTGTCGAAACCCACACGATGGAGGGGGCGGTGGGGTAGCCTAGTGGCTAAAGCGTTCGATTCCCCACATGGGTACAATGTGTAAAGCCCATTTCTGGTGTCCCCGCCGTGATATTGCTGGAACATTGCTAAAAGCGGCGTAAAACCGAACTCACTCACTCACTCACACGATGGAGGAAAGTATTAGATACAAACTCGTGAAGCATTGATGATAGGTCGAGAGGTGTTTATATTCACAAACCTGTTCATGTACATTAATGTGCGTAAAAAGAAAAGGTACGTAATAGGTTTGGGACAGCATATGTATACATAGTCGTAAGAAAGTGAGACGCTAACCTTTACACTCATTAGTATATTGGTACAATTCAAACCTAAGACATGTTCAAATATGCATTTAAATTTAAATTTTATTGAGCTGAGAATAAAACGCTGCACATTTGCAGACGATCAGAAAAGTAATGAACGTAATAAACATGGATTAACATATGGGGAACTGGAAGTTTAGAATTCTTTAAAATTTGAAAACTCGTTTGTTCTGTAAAGACCGATCATGCAGTATTAAACTAAGAGTATGAATGCACCTAGCTATGTTGATTTAAAGATAGTCATCGAGCGTTAATTGCAACGGCTGTTCAGTCAGTTTTTACGCATTATTCTTAAGTGATAATTACGACCCTGTTTTCCCGTGTATAGCAGGGATTTCATTATGGCGTATTTAGATCACGTGTTACTCCACTCTTTTGTATCGCTCAATTGTTTCCTGTAAGGAACGTTTTTCGCCTGTTATGCTCCATTTGGATTTTTGAAATGCTTAAGTCAGTATTACAAAAGACATTATTGCTTTAATTTAACTACATTATAACGGTAATGTGTGTGTGTACACTACATCTGAAACCCCACCGTGAATGGTATTATCATCAAAGCTCACTATCGGTGGTTAAGACAGTTCGATAAAAGTTCTGTTGAAACAGTTATCATTAGGATGTCTTAAACCAGATTTAGGCAGTAGCGTCAAGTGAAATATATTTCGACAAAGTACGTTGAAAGTTCCATTGGCGTAATTGTCCAAATGTCAACCGTTATGATTTAATCGAAATCATTTCGATATTTTGTAGCAATTTAAGCCAATATCATCAGTTACTTGAATTACAATTCAAAAATTTTCCCTAAACCTTACATTTAATCACGACCTACATTTGATCACGATGTATCACAATAATGCATTAATTAAATTCATTATAAATCGATAAATTGATATGACCTACATATTAAGATAATTTTATGCCGATATGGATATTTACATTTTTGAAAATTACTGCTTCTCGACGCGAATTAAGTCATCTTCATAAGCCTCTGCGACTTACTTCAATCATATTTTAAAGAATCAAAACTGAAATATATATTTGAAAGAGAAATAATATTACAAGAATCAAATCCTGAAAATTAAAAATTCTGCTTTCAAAATGTCACACCAGTGTACCTGATATGTTTAATTCCTTAATAACTCAATCTTGTCGATGTATTGAGACCTATGTTTGAATTTGTACCGTCAGTATATTAACAAAACATTCCATCCCTCGTGACTCCGGATTCAAATTGTTTTTCATATTTACATATCTTGTCATGTTGTTAATGTTAAATGTTTTTGTGTAATAAACATGTGCCACATTTCTAACTGTGTGTTTTGTGGATTTTTGCCAACAAGTGATTCATGGAATGTACAACTGGATGTGTAACACGTCTGGTGCTAAATACATGTAATGCACAGAATGAAAACAGTTCATTTTCAGACAGGAAGGCCGTTGTCATCAACACAGCTACAGCACGGTATCATGTCTTCACTGAAGTGACTATCCGGGTTAGAATTGATCTGCAGTAACCCATGCTTGTCGTAAGATGTGACTAACGAGGTTCGGCCAGGTTCGCTGACTTAGATGACACATGTCATCGTATCCCAATGCGTAGATTAATGTTCATATTGTTGATCACTGAATTGTCTGGCCCAGACTCGATTATTTACAGACCGCCGCCATATAGCTGGAATGTTGCTGAGTGCGGCGTGAAACTAACCTCACTCACTCACTGATTAAAGTTCCAAACAAATTGATTGTTCAATAAAAAAAATTCCCCATATAAACATTAATGGTTTAGTTCATTCCTATTTTACACATACATCCTAACTTTGACTACAATGCGAACACATTTGCATACGGAATGATGAACACTGTATCTCCAATAGACTACAAAGTGAATGAGCGCTGTAGCCTATTCAAGCCACGTCAAGACACGTCAATGGCCATCATTGTTAATGTTGGAAACAAGTGTTAGAAACGACAGAAATGCAGTTCTATGTACTCTATTCCTCATTGTTCCCGTAGACATAGCAGCGAGTATTCCAAACAGACCAGAAAATTACCCTGTAAATTCCACTATCATTTTTTTAAAAAAACAGTGTTAAAAGGAAGTTATTCCGAGTGTCGGCAAAGACACATTCAGAAGAATGGAATGTAGAGTATTTGGTACCGACCGGCGATATGAATGTATAGGCTCGTGGCCTTCATAACAAACTGTAATTCAGCAGCTGTAGTTAAATATGTATCTTGTCTGTATATGGAACGCACCTGTCTGAACTACCAGCCAACCTACTCATTCAACTACCAACCCACCCATCCATCCATTTACTAACCCACCCACTCTTTCACTCATCTACAAACCCATTCATTTATCTACTAACCCGCGCAACCATCTAGTAACCCACACGCTCATCTACCAACCCACTCATTCATTCATCTACCAACAATCTCTTTCATTCAACTACCAACCCACTAATCCATTCAACTACCAACAATCTCTCTCATTCAACTACCAACCCACTCATCCATTCAACTGCCAACAATATCTCTCATTCAACTACCAACCCACTCATCCATTCAACTACCAGCCATCTCCCTCATTCAACTACCAACCCACTCATCCATTCAACTGCCAACAATCTCTCTCTTTCAACTATCAACCCATTCATTCATTCATTCATCTACCAACCCACTCACTCACTCATCTACAAACCCATTCATTTATCTACTAACCCACTCACTCATCTACAAACCCACTCATTCATTCATCTACCAACAATCTCTCTCATTCAACTACCAACCCACTCTTTCATTAATCTACCAACAATCTCTCTCATTCAACTACCAACCCACTCATTCATTCATCTACCAACAATCTCTCTCATTCAACTACCAACCCACTCGACCGCCTCCGTGGTGTAGTGGTTACAGCGTCCGCCCGGAGAGTGGAAGGTCGCGGGTTCGATCCCCGACCGCGTCACACCAAAAGACGTTAAAATGTGGTACTTGTTGGTCCATGTCTGGCGCTCGGCATTAATGGGTACAATAAGGACTGGTTGGCTCGGAGTCAGTATAATGTGGTTGAGTGGGGTATTCATGCTTCACTGCGGGATGGTATCTCAGTTGGCTAGCACTATAAAACCAGCTTAAGTCTGGGCTAGTACAAGCAGACGCACATACACATACACACGCATGCACGTCGTCATATGAGCGAAATATTCCCAAGCACGACGTAAAACCCAATTTCACCTCACCTCACCTCACCTCACCAACCCACTCATCCATTCATCTACCAACAATCTCTCTCATTCAACTACCTACCAACCCACTCATTCATTCATCTACCAACAATCTCTCTCATTCAACTACCAACCCACTCATCCATTCAACTGCCAATAATCTCTCTCATTCAACTACCAACCCGCTCATCCATTCAACTGCCAACAATCTCTCTCATTCAACTACCAACCCACTCATCCATTCAACTACCAACAATCTCTCTCATTCCACTACCAACCCACTCATTCATTCATCTACTAACCGACTCACTCACTCATCTACAAACCCATTCATTTATCTACTAACCCACGCAACCATATACTAACCCACTCACTCATCTACCAACAATCTCTCTCATTCAACTACAAACCCACTCATTCATTCATCTAGCAACAATCTCTCATTCAACTACCAACCCACTCATTCATTCAACTACCAGGCCTCTCACTCACTCATCTACCAACCCACTCATTCATTCATCTACCAACAACCTCTCTCATTCAACTGCCAACCCACTCATCCATTCAACTACCAACAATCTCTCTCATTCATCTACCAACCCACTCATCCATTCATCTACAAACCCTCCCCCTCATTGAACTACCAACCCACTCATTCATTCAACTACCAGCCCTCTCACTAGTCAATCTTCTACAAACCCTTTCATTTATCTAAAAACTCACGCAACCATCTACTAACACACTCACTCATGTACAAACCAACTCACTCACTCACTCACTCATCTACCAACCCACTCATTCATTCATCTACCAACAATCTCTCTCATTCAACTACCAACCCACTCATCCATTCAACTACAAACAATCTCTCTCATTCAACTACCAACCAACTCATCTATTAAACTACCAACTCTCTCTCTCATTTATCTACCAACCCACTCGTCCATTGAACTACCAGCCCTCTCCCTCATTCAACTACCAACCCACTCACTCATTCATCTACCAACCCACTCACTCACTCATCTACAAACCCATCAGTTTATCTACTAACCCACTCATTCATTCATCTACCAACAATCTCTCTCATTCAACTACCAACCCACTCATCCACTCAACTACCAACAATATATCTAATTCAACTACAAACCCACTCATCCATTCAACTACCAACCAACCCACTCAACTACCAACCACTCATCCTAACTACCAACCCACTCATCCATTCAGTACCAACAATCTCTCTCATTCAACTACCAACCCTCTCATTCATTCATCTACCAACCCACCCACTCATCTACAAACCCATTCATTTATATTCGCAACCATCTTCACTCACTCAATCTCTCATTCAACTACCAACCCACTCATCCATTCAACTACCAACAATCTCTCATTCAACTACCAACCCACTCATTCATTCATCTATACCAACCCACTCACTCACTCATCTACAAAACCAACCCATCTACACTCCACTCATCTACATCTACCCACTCTCATTCATCTACAACCATCTACCAACCAACTCACTCATCTACCAACCAACTCACACATTCATCTACCAACCCATACACTCATCTGCCATCCGTATAGTCATTAAACAAACCAGGCACCTACCATTCATCTACAAACACATAATCGTTAACCTACACACTCGCTTAACAATTTATATTACCCCACATTCACTCACTCACTCCAGATACAGTGTCACTCCATCGAGGTGTAAATCTCAACATGTATGATGATCTAAGTTACCCAGAGAGTTACTGTGGCAACATCATAAAAATGTTATCCATCAACCTGGACTGTTTCCATAGCTACGGGCCAACGACATTAATATTTGTCAAGTGTTCATGTTTATTGTACAGTGACATCAACTGTGCAGCCCTACATACACATGCATGTTAAACATTTTCTCATGTAAGTTTGACAGATGAGGGGGCATTGCGTCAACACTCGGTCTGACATTGTGACAGTTTTATGTTGGGCAGGACATGCGCTGCAAGTCTCTGATGTATTTTCAACAATAGTTTTGTCTACGTGTAGCCTTAGCGTAATCTTGAAACTGCTCCATACGATTATAATATAAGTGTTTCCGCCAACCTAACGACCTTGTTGATGGTTGACATGGTACTGTCACATTACACATCGTCACTCGTCCGTAGTTGGGCCATCATCCCCGCCGAAAACGTTCAAAATATTTTGGGCATATTTCCTAATGAAATCACAATGTTTATATAGAATTGACTGGTCTAAAAACAGCGTAAGCTATAACGCTGTCCCGATATATTTGATCCGATAATGGGACAGGCGTATTGAAAACATAGTATTTGGTAATTACAGTGTAACAATGAGCATACAGTCTACGGAAGTAGACACAGTTGGGTGTATTGGTTGGTTGGTTTGTTGTTTTACGCCGCACTCAGCAATATTCCAGCTATATCGCGGGGGTATGTATGTAATGGAGTCTGGACCAGAGAATCCAGTGATCAACAACATGAACATCGATCTACGTAATTGGGATACGATTACATGTGTCAACCAAGTCAGCGAGCCTGTTAGTAACCATTAAAAGCTGTACTCCAAGAAAGTGTCATTAAAAGTAATTTTAAACCTGTCTGCCACAACAGACATATCTCAAGGGTATTTTAGCTAACTCTTTTATTTACATATCCTTCATTTTACATTTTTAAATATTACAACTGACTATATGATTTTATAACGCTTTGGGCAATCAGGCCCTTGACATGTTTTTGTTAGAAGAAATTTTAGTGAACGAATATTGCGTTTGAACGAGTATTTTTTTACTTTCCAAACGAATCTATGTTATCTGGACATTCTGGAAAAACTTATTATGTTTGTAATAGTTGTGTTAAGTCACAGAGTATTTTGTTTCCTTCTAAATGTATCTGTGTTAACAGACCATTCAGAAAAGAATCATTATATTTGTTATAGTTATGTTAAGTTAGAGAGTATTTTGTTTCCTTCAAATTAAAAGGGTCTAGGCTAACTGCCCTCCGACCTTTGTGCCCCCGGACAACTACCCCATGGGTAAATTGCCCCCCCAACCCCAACCCACACACACCCCGACAACCACAAACTAAAAGTAATAGTTAAAATTTTAAATTTATAGCACTATGTAATACAACATATCAATCTTCAGATTCACTTAGAGCTCATTTTTCATGTGTAATTGAGTTTTATAATTCCTATCAAGATGGGGATGGGGTGGTGGTCACTTTTAGTTTTGATGGGGGCACTTGTCCTAGGGGTGGGGGTGGGGCAATTAGCCTAGGGGGCAGCTGCCAGGGGCACAATGGACCGGGTGGGGAGGGGGAATAGCCAGGGGCAGTTGTCCGGGGGTCTGATACCAATTAAATATGTCTGTGGTAACTGGACATTCTGAAAAAACAAACAAAAAACGTATCGTTTCTTTTAAAGGCTTCATAAAGATTTGATAGATTGTGTTCATTACTAGATTTATATCAGCATAACCCTAAATAGACCATATTCACTTAAACCAGCGGGACAGTTTCAACATGTAAATGATGATCTAGTTTACCCAGAAAGTGTACTGTGGCAGCATCGTGAAAATGGTATCCATCATCCTGGACTATTTCCATGGTTACAGGTCAACGACTTTAATATTCGTCGAGCGTGTTCATGTTTATTGTACAGTGACATCAACTCAGGCAATGCAGGTTTGTGCAGCTCGACATATGCGTGCATGTTCATCTGCATCGCCCCCCACTACCCCAATCCCATCAAGCATTTTTCTCATGTATGTTTGACAGATGAGGGAGCTTTGCGTAAACACTCGTTCTGACGTGTTGACAGTTTTATGTTGGGCAGGACATGCGCTGCAAGTCTCTGATGTTTTTTCACCAATATTATTCTTTGTGCATTGCCTTAGTGTAACCTTGAAACTGGTGGATAGAGTTTTCGCCAACCTAACATGCTTTTGGTGTTAGACATGATGCTGCCGCGTTACACATCGTCACTCACTCACTTACTTGCTATCACTGACGCCGAAAATGTTCCATATGTTTTCGGCATATTTTCCAATGAGTGAGTGAGTGAGTTGAGGTTTATATCGCATTAAACCATTAAAGGCTGTACTCCAAGAAAGTGTAAATAAAGGTCAATTCAAACATGCCTGCCACAACATACAAATCTTTAAAGTAATTACCTAACTCTTTTTTCACATATCTTTCATTTTACATTTAAAGCTGACTACGCTAAATGAAAATGCTACAATACAGTGCCAGCCAAAGACTTCCCCCCAAAGAAAAAGAAATGTCAAGACCTCCTGAGAGAACTGTCCACACTGAAACATAGACTTGTGGTTAGCAACTTTTGATATAGTGTATTACTTAATTGAATTGTACATATAATAGAATATATATTTGTAATTGGTAATGTTTGGTGCAATATTTTTTATATATTGCTATTTCATATGATATGTTTTTATCTTGCGATTAATAGTGGTAACACCAAATAAATTATGTCATGAAATGTCAAATTTCAGTTTAGACCTATTTCATTTCTTTACCACTTCAACTCTTCTTATCAACCATGTGCCTGTAAAAAACATAAAATGGCCTTTGTTCGACTTGAAGGTAATCCACCCCAAGCACGCTCCTATGTTTTTAGAATTCTACTTCGTGGGAACTAACCGGCAGAACTCACATTGCGTCATCACCCGTTAGCGGCCATCGCAATGCTTTGTTTTGATTAGACAGTCGGATTCCCCAGGCCAGTTCTGAGTTGGCCGTTGCTTACCAAGACTTCATAAAGATTTGATTGAGTGTGTTCATTGCTAGATTTATGCCAGTATAATCCTGGACTAGATACATTTACACAAGCGGGAAAAGTACCATCAAATAAAACTATCATACTCTGTAATTGACGAAATGCATATTTTAATACATATTTATGAAGACACCTTGGTGGTTACAGATTGCGCGTGAGTATACATTCAAGGTGCGTCATCGAAGTCCAGTGATACAATCAAGTCTGCGTCCACGTCACTGTCAGAACATGAGGTAACAATGTGACATGACACAAGGTAACAATGTGACATGACACAAGGTAACACTGTGACATAACACAAAGTAACACCATAGCATCACTCAAAGAAAAACTATGACATGACACAAGGTAACACTATGACACAACAGAAGGTAACACTATGACATGACACAAGGTAACACAATTAGGGTAACATTATGGCAAAACACAAGGTACATGTACAACTATGACACGGCACAGGTAAAACTATGACACGACAGGTAAAACTATGACACGACACAGGTAATACAATGATACGACACAGGTAACATTATGATACGACACAAGTAATACAATGATACGACACAGGTAATACAATGATACGACACAAGTAAAACTATGACACGACACAGGTAATACAATGATACGACACAGGTAACATTATGATACGACACAGGTAAAACTATGACACGACACAGTTAAAACTATGACACGACACAGGTAATACAATGATACGACACAGGTAACATTATGACACGACACAAGTAAAACTATGACACGACACAGGTAAAATTATGACACGACACGGGTAAAACTATGACACGACACAAGTAAAACTATGACACGACACAGGTAAAACTATGACACGACACAGGTAAAACTATGACACGACACAGGTAATACAATGATACGACACAGGTAACATTATGACACGACACAAGTAAAACTATGACACGACACAGGTAAAATTATGACACGACACTGGTAATACAATGATACGACACAGGTAACATTATGACACGACACAAGTAAAACTATGACACGACACAGGTAAAACTATGACACGACACAGGTAAAACTATGACACGACACAGGTAATACAATGATACGACACAGGTAACATTATGACACGACACAGGTGAAACTATGACACGACACAAGTAAAACTCTGACATGACACAGGTAAAACTATGACACGACACAGGTAATACAATGATACGACACAGGTAACATTATGACACGACACAGGTGAAACTATGACACGACACAAGTAAAACTATGACACGACACAGGTAAAACTATGACACGACACAGGTAAAACTATGACATGTAACACAATGATACGACACAAGGTAACACTATGGCATGACGAATGTTAACAAAATGACGTGACACAAGAAAAAACCATGACATGACACACAATAACCCCATGATCCGACAAGTGGTAACACTGCTGCAGTCATGTTATCCAACATAAACAATGGTATTCGCGTCCTTGACGCGTTTGATGAAAGATTTCCACTTCGTTTCCCATTGCTGAAGTGCTGAAGCTTTCTCCCGGTTCGTCATTTTGCTGAACCTGGAAAAAGATAAAATATATTGATACACAAAAAGACATTAACATCGTAACCACTCGACCATACAGTTTTACTTTTCTTTTTCGACGAATGCGCCGTTTGGTCAAAACAACTTCAGAAAGCTATTGGAGGAAGGGAAGTAACCCCGTATTTGATGTGCAGTTAATGTTGACTTGCGCTTTAAACTGTTGCTGTCAGACTTAAATTGTAAACCTAGCTTCACATACTGTAAGCAGTAAGATATCAAATGTAGTTTACATCTAATTCCATATAGTCATTTCATTACGTCCCTCTAATCTCGGCACACGTTGAGAAACACACTAGGAAAGGGGACATTCCGGTTCAGTGACACCTGCCTCCAGCCTGCTATGTATGCTCTCTGTTTGTTTGTTTGTTGTTTAACGCCGCACTCAGCAATATTCTAGTTACATAATCGAGTCTGGACCACACAATCCAGTGATCGGCATCATGAGCATCGACCTACTCACTTGGAATAAGATAGTTTGTGTCAACCAAGTCCGGTTAGTCGCCTCTTATGACAAGCATGGGTTGCTGAAGACCAGATCTTAACGGGGGCCGTCTATGTAAGACGTCCTTTTTAGCTTACTTGATTGAGTTCATGGCGATCTGTTTGAGAAACCTCAGGTCATCATCTGGCGCAGCTAGAGCCATGTACGCCATGTAGAAGTCATGTGACAGCGGAAGGGCCTCCCACGGCGCCGGGTTATCCGAACTGATGCACACTGGGAAATCCTGGGAGATCAAGATGGCCGCCGGATGGTTCCTCAAATCGGAGACGAGCTTCAATACCTGGAAGGGTCATGGCCCATTAGTCATACGCCCAATTAGTCCTACTCCCACTAGTCATATAGCAAATGAGGGATTAATTAAAACAACAACATATACCCTTTGAGCAAATTGAACTAGCCCGCTAATTAGAGAGCTAGTTAGTTAGTTAGCTAGTTAGAATGTCTAACACCAGAGACCATATAGTATATCATATGGTCTCTGCTAACACTGATCGCGAGAAGGAAAACAGACTCGTCCGATTGTGGGACCAACTTAAAACAGGCCAGAAAACTCTGTTCAATTTCTGGATGCTGTTGGCTACCCCTACCCAAAGGACCATTAATTGCGAACTGTGAATTTAAGTTATTTAAGTAAAGAATAATGTGTTGATGATACCGATTTAGTGTACAGATTATGTATGTATAGTATGCTCAAGATCAGATTATGCATGTATACCATGCTGAAGACAGATTATTGAAGTTCACTGACGTGAAGCTGTATTTGTGTTTCTTGGATCATTCCATTTTGTTTTTACAAAGGTATTACAAAGATAGTTGTTGGCGTAGTCAACCATACCGTATATTGTTTTAACCCGTATGACTAATGGGGTGTATGACTAATGGGAGGACACCCCTGGAATGATTCAAGTCACTTTTCTCTGAACGTTCTGTCACGTTTCTCTCAACTGTCACATGAGTTTTGTGTGAGCATGCATGTGCCTCATTTTCTTTACCACTGTAAAGGGGTGGTAGGGTAGTCGAGTGGTTTAAGCGTTCGCTCGTCACGCCTAAGACCCGGGTTCGATTTCCTACATATGTACAATGTGTGAAACCCATAACTTACCATTGCAAGATTTATGGAGCAATCATTTTATAGTAGTGAGGTGGGATGGTGCTCTCTCTCTGACGTATTGTTTAGAGTCAGGATTAACGTGTATACTTATCCTTTTAGGATTTACTAGCACTTTGTCGGGTTAGGACATCTACCTAGGTAGGGCTGACGTCTCTATTACCTAATACCAGGAATGATTCACGTCTAGAATCACGATAGGAGGCTGGGTGCAACACACTATTACCTGATAACAGATAGGTTTCACGTCAATATTACCTGGCAACAGGAATGATTCACGCCTATAGTCCCGATAAGAGATTGTGTTACAGACAATATTACTTGATAACAGATAGGTTTCACGTCAATATTTCCTGGCAACAGAATTGATTCACGTCTAGATTTTCGGTAAGAGATTGGGTTCAAGACAATATTACCTGATAACAGATAAGGTTCACGTCAATATTGCCTGGCAACAGGAATGATTCACGCCTATAGTCCCGATGAGAGATTGTGTTACAGACAATATTACTTGATAACAGATAGGTTTCACGTCAATATTGCCTGGCAACAGGAATGATTCACGTCTAGATTTTCGGTAAGAGATTGGGTTCAAGACCACATTACCTGATAACACATAGCTAGGTTTGACGTCAATACTGCTTGACAAGAGATTGGTTTGACGTCAATATTGCTGGTAAGAGACTGATTTGACGTCAGTATTGCAGATACAATTAATATCAATATTACCTGGTTGGAGATAGGATTGACCTCTATCGGAATATTTCTCTTCTTAATTAGTCTCATCACCTCTGGATGTTTAGGAATAGCGAAGCCATGTCCGATCCTTTCTGTTTTGAGGAGGATGGCATCGATGAGGTTATTGCCGTGGATATGAAGCCATTCTGGGAAAAGAGGTCACATCTTACTCACATCGCCGATATTGACTGTAATGTATCGAGAAGGGTAAAATATTCCAATATTCAAAAAGAAAACAGATTGTGTAAATTTTGTACATTAAATGTTATTGAAGACACATGTGGTCTCACCTTAGGCAAGTGAGTTTGTTCAAAATTGTCTCTGTTCACCCAGCAGGAAAATGGGTACCCGGTGGAAAAAAAGTCATATCTATAACACTGACGTATGGACTTGAAAAGCATACCTAGTGTGGAGTTTACCGCTATATAAATGGACATTATTATTATTATTATTATTAAGATGAGTTCCACTTTTTGTTGGAAAGTCTTACACTGACGTATGGACAAACATCTACCGCAATATCACCATATATATCCTTAAACGTGTAAATGTAATTTGTTAATGAACACTAATAATACAAGTAATATTCGCAAATTGGTATGTGTATCCATCATGCTTTTGTATATAGAAAAACATGTCTGCAAACATTGTGATTGTTATTCATAATTCTTATCTGACACTGTGTACTATAGGCCTGTGGCTTCTTCAGTACTCGAATACAAGTAGAAGAAGTATCGCCGTACCACTATCATAAAATATCTCAACCCATCCGTAACTACAATGTCTTAGGAGCACAAATCGATCTTCAGCAACCCATGCTTGGAGCAACTAACGAGATCATTTGACACTTGTCATTATATCCCAGTTGCATTGATCGATGCTCATGCTGGTGAACACTGGATGATCTGGTCCAGACTCGATGCGCGTCGACCCCACCCCCCCACCCCCCCGCGCCATACGTTTCGTTAATTCTATATCGAAAGAACAGAATATTGTGTGTAACACGTTAGCAGTATGCTTTGTTTTGAACTGTGCATTCGCCGTTCATTAGTGGTGGCAACGGATAGTCACGAAATTCCTCCAATATGGATTCAGCTGGCCGAGACATTGGGGTGTACCATTTGATACCCCCCATATTGGGAAACATTATGCCCTTCCCGAAAATGTTGGAAAAATTGTTTTCACCACACGATATCCGTCTGACGCCATCTTTTATTCAGACATTGTCCTTGATGGGATTACAAATGTAAGGGAGACAACCTTACCTGTTTCTCCTGCATGGAAGAAGTAGGGGAGATTACTCTTTTGAGTTCTTGGGTAAAGCAGCTCAGATATGTAATATAGCAAAGTGTGTTTGACGTCTTCCTGTTCCATTAGGTCGTATCCAAGGACAACGTCTGGAAATTGTTCAACCAGATCCATAGTGGCTTTGACTTCTTCTAGTATGGCGCTGGTATTGCCAGTCCTGTATACAGTGAGTGAGTTAGGTATGTTTTACCGAGCCTTGACCAAAAATACATTTATATCATGGCACAGTGAAATGAAAGCCCAAAGACAGACATGTACCGCGTTGATTGTTTTACCAAATTTTGAAACTGTCTTTATATACAATATATGTTATATTTGGGATTACACTTTCTTAGCAAAGAACAGATTCTAGTACTTTTGGGGTTGAGTCCCATCCTCAGAGTCAAGCACCTGAACGCATCCGCTCAGCCACCGCGACTTCCACAAAATGGAAGTCGGACAACTGGTAGTCTAGACTGTGTACCCCTCTGTGGGTTCGAATCCCGGATGGGACTCAACCCAAAAAGTACTAGAATCTTACTTTACTAAGAAAGTGTAATCTCAAATATAACATATGTTACATTTGACCACTTTCTAAATGTGATTGTGTAACCATAGCTTTCGGTCGTGGGAGCCGTGCGAATTTACACCATTCAGAGGGGTATACAAAATGTGCAGTCTAGACTACCAGTTGTCCGACTTCCATTTTTGTGGAAGCCTCGGTGGCTGAGCGGGCTAGGCGGCTGACTTTGTCTTTATATACCTCAGAACAGGTTTGGGCCAACGACATATAACACCAGTGTTGAAATTTAAGCAATGCCATGCATTACAAATCTAAGCCTTACCTACATAGTACATATACTAGCGGAAAGGGGATACTTTTCTTCATATGAAGTTAAATGATATGTAAGTTTATTCTGAAGCTTTAAAGATATGAATCCGTGAAGACTTTAAAGTCAGAACATTCGGATGTCTGCGTATTTGTTGGGCTGGTACACCGACGGATTCGATACCAAACTGCCATAGTAACAGTTTGGATAATTTTATACTTTCTAAGTGAGCATAACATTGCTGTGCTGTCATGGGCGGCTCTTTTTTCTGTCATACACAGCACATCCACAGAACATCTCTAGGATGAGACTGCGCAATGCCTACGACAGGACCCGATTCAGCCAATAACGCTCTGTTGGACCAACCTTTAGTTGACGATAAGAACAATAACAAGGGTGTATTCTCAGCCCCCTCCCCTTCCTTCTCTTTATTAATGAATTTGAAACAGAGATGAATCTTAATAAATACATTAAAAATATAGTGTTTCTTAATAGAGGAATTCTGACACATTCTGAAAAATGGACTTTCTGTAAAAATAAGGTGGTTCCTTACTACAAATATCTCAGCATAATATTTTCATCTAGGCTCGTGTTGACAAAAGCCTGTGAAACACTCGCTCAACAAGCAAGTAAAGCCTGCCTCTCTGATTTCAGACGGTTTCTGAAAACTTGAAAATGTGATTTAAATAAGAGCCACACTTGGAGAGCTGGGACGTCATCCCATTTACCTATTAACACAGATCCGAGTAGTCAAGTTCTGGTTTAAGATATTCATTATGAATGAACAACGTTATCCACTACAGTGCCACAGAATGCTAAAAACATTTGATGACATGGCAGAACAAGCTGGGCATCCAATGTTAGAATCATATTAGTCAGAAACGGGTTTCTCTTGTCTGGTTAAACCAGGGCGTTTCAAACGTTCAGCTATTCATGTATACATTCAAACAACGATTGAAGGATATGGCTACCAAACTTGGCACGACGAAATCAACAGCTCCACCTTTCTCAACCAGTATTCACAGTTAAAATATGAACTTCTCCTGGAGCCATACATAACAGAACTGATATATAAACATCTGATCCGTGCACTTATCAAGTTTCAAAGAGCTTCACATAACAACTTAAAGTGAACATATACAGACATATACATAGTACTACTTGTATTCACTCTGTGGTGCTGCAGAAACAGAAGCTGAAAATCATGTATTCTTCCGGTGTCAAAAATATCAGCGGTACAGAGACAATTACTTCGAACAACTACAACATGTCTACAAAGGTCCACTTACTATGACGTCAATTTTGCAATCCAAAACCCCTCAAGTTATTTACTATACAGCACTATTTTTACGTTACGTTTTTAAAGTAAAGATCCCAATACAAATTATGACCACTGTTTCATGAAACTGCCAAATTCGGTGACTGTATCATAGGCCATGAGGCCGATAATACGAAATAAAACTGTCTGTCTGTCTGATAAGATATTTTGCTAACTGTGTACAATATAAATAAACAAACAAATATGACAAAGTGCTTGTCAAGATATTCTATAGTATATTTGGTACCCTTCGAATGTACTCATAACTTCTTAAAGCTATTTATGGCCATGCACTTTGGTAAACTGCGGTGGTGAGGTGGCCTAATGGCTGCTAACTTGTCACACCGAAGTCCCGGGTTCGACTCCCTATATGGGTACAATGTGTAAAGTATTTCCCCGCCATGAAATTGCTGGAATGTTGCACCGTGCTCGATCCCTCTCATTCACTTATTCACTCTGGAAAGCTAAACATGTGATGCAACAGTGATCGGAGGATGTTCACCGTCATTTGACGTTGCATTTGACGTTTGATGTCATTTGACTGTTTTAATCATACTGAGAAACTGCCTTCAACATCATGGAATGTCGAATATAACACGTCATCCATTTAACAAGCCTTACTTCCGTCCAGCAATGATCAATTTGGCGCCAGAAAAATCCTGATAATCTTGTTTAAACTCGTTGACAACGTCACGGAAAGTCTCCACGGTCCACGTGAAATCATGAGTTGTCCCGTTTAGTTCATATGGCTGAAAAACAAGACATTTGTGAAGAACACCTATTGGTTATTCAAGATTTAGTGGAGTTAAAATACACATGGCATATCCCAGTGAGGGAAAGTTTGATTGATAACCATTAGTCAGCTTGATGCAGGGAATCTGAGATGACGATGAATTGCGATATTGACATTGGTGTTTCTTTAAGGCTAACTTCTTTAAGGCATTTAATAGTTAAAGTACAATATATGGATGAACAACTTCTTTACTACAGTGAGAGCCACGTTTCAGTGTAGGTCCTAATACCGTCATCAAGCAAGTAATGAACAGAAGGATAGAGAGGCATATTTTATATTTGTACAGTACAATGGAGATTGGGACGGCAATAGCAAATTAACTGAACTGAACTTTCTTTACACTCCAGCCGCGTTCTGTGGCATTAGAGGTACAAGTTTACATCATTATCTAGAACTTAAATACAAGTATGAAACATAAATATATATATATATATATATATATATAATATATATATATATATATATATATATATATATACACATATATATATATAATTATATATATATATATATATTATAATAATATATAACAATATATACACATATCGCTTGGTTGCAAGAATAAATTGTGCCTGCACATGCGTTTAACCAGTTAAATGAACAATGTTACAGTCACGCGTTGTTGGTTATCTTTTGTGGTGTCGTTGCTTAAAACGAGACATTATTATTGTGCAAAATATTGCAAATTTCCTAATTGTTTCTAGTTTGTTAGAGTCAAAAAGCTGGTTCAGTTTGTGAATATTTGGGTTTCTACAGAAATAGGTGTTGATATATGTTTTCCTTTCAACGTAGGGCACATGAACAAAACGTGAAACTAACAACACATAGCCTGATGTAGATAGAAGCGTTAACGCATAAAGCCTGCTGTATAAACATCGGGATAGCCAAGCCTGTAGTCTAGGGACTATGACTAATGGGGATATTTGAGACAATCCATTAACCAACTGCATGAGCATCGGCCTACACATTTGGGATATGATGACATGTGTCAACCAAGTCAAAGAGCCTGACCACTCCCTGCCGTGAGTCGCCTCTTTCGGACTAGTATGGGTTGCTGAAGACCAATTCCAACCCGGATCTTCACTGGTCCCCACTCAGTGTATTTCACACATTTGCCGCCGCTGTAGAGAAATGCCAATTTTATGCTCCCTGGTGTCCAAAAAGCTTCGACTGCATTATTCAAATGCATTAGAACACTTCTATCGTGTATTGCTACTCAAATTTTGAATATTTTTATAACCGCTAATCTGCATATTGTAACAGATAATTGTAACCATAGAATAATTTCAAAACGCAAAAGTTAACCAGTCGTCAAATCGACATTTTGAACCAAAGGTGGTTATCGTAATTTAATACCTCTGATCGGACCAATCAAGTGATTTCCATATTTGTGGCTGGATACAAATTGCACTTTGCACGTTAGTAGAGATGACAAATTCTGTTCATACCTTTATCAGGCCAATGCGGGTCTCTAAGTACTGCACGCCGTCCTCGTGGAACTCCTTCAGAGTCTCGTAGAGTGCATCCTTCAGTACAGGCGAGTGAAGGAAGAGTCCCTGAACTGTTTGGAAATACTGCTGAAGTCGCTTCCAGATGACGTTGATGCTTGGGTAGACAACTTCCGGGTTATCTACTGTTAGAGTTAGATTGTTGTATAGCCTGTTGCAATACAAGAATATGGCTTTGTTAGATTTGGAGTTTATTGATTGGTTCTCTAACATCACATTCAGCAATATTCGGGGTACGATGACACACGCAATCAACAGCAAGAGAAACGTTACATCGATAGAGGTTTCTTAAAGCACACACTTTAATTCACTCTAATTAACAATCAAAACGGATCGGAGGATTGAGTTCGTGAGGTGAAGTGAGGTGAGTTGTTCAGAATTGCCACAGTAGCTTGTCGTAAGTCAGCATACCAGACACCATTATATCATAACAATGGTACATCGACTTAAACGATCTCTTGAGCTGAAGTATTTCGGCTTGGTATGGTTGCACCGTGTGCAAGCTTACCGCTGATCGAACATGGCAATATCCCTGCTCTTGGCACGTTCAGCTGAAATCTCAAGCCATCTGCAATCTGAAATGAATCCAGTTAGTGATGAGAAGTGTATTTCTTCAGATCAAACTGAAGACTCTCCGTTACTTTTAAAGTAATTTATTCGATAAATTGCCGAAAAACAATGATTTAGCCTCGAGTTTTACAAAATTATTTTACTAATGAAGTGACGTGGGTGTGCGTGCGTGCGTGTTTGTGTATTTGCCTGTTTGTACGAATCAGGATTGATGCCGGTTGTATAATCATGCTCGCCCTCTCAAGTATAGATATTAACTCTTGTACTGCCTTCTTAATATCGTTCACCAGGCAGTGTACCAACAAGTAACATAATGTTCATCCACTTTGGAGGCTGTGGAGCTTCACAGGGTAGGTAAGGGTCAAAGTTGTTAACCGTGACGTAATCGTGTGACGTAATCATGACGTCAACCTACCTTTATCTACAGGAGGTGTCAAATAAAACCCGGTCAGTGTGATAACGTTCTGCTTCACACACATATAACAGTTGGGACGATACGTGACGTTCTTCACCAGCCAGTCGTTGCTTGTAATTGAGCCGTAATGTAGATGTAGAGCCGCACCTGTCATTGAAACAACGTGGCATCACTTAAGTCTTTTACCCATGAGGGGAAGTCATAATTAAATCACAAGGACACACAGATACAACTGCTTATATCATCCATGGGTGGAACTGTTCATTTAAAGATAAGAAGTATGTAGCAGTACGTTATAAAAGTGATTATACAGTTCGTAAACATATAGCAACTTAATGTTCTCAATATTTTCTGAAACACGAGTCTACATCGGGCGAGGAACCGCAGATGGAGCGTACGATACATGTGGTGATTTAGCAATACGTATACACAAAGTTTGTCACAATCGAAATACTTTTGTAAATATTTACGTTGTTTTGGGGAAAAAATCGCCCGAAGCAAAATGTGTTCGTTCTGTTGTACGTCAGTTTAGACATCATTCAAAAGAGTCACTGTACAACAACGACCAAAGCACAACCTCTCAGTTTCTATATTTGTGGTTTTGCGTCAATAGATTTTGACAGTATATTATTATTCACTACCGATAACTCGTCGTTTATTCATTGTGAGCTGAACATGATAGAGGAATTGGATCAAACACCCCAAACAGCATTACCTTTAGGCATTTGTTGTATAATCTCGAATACCTTGCTTTGTTCCATCCGCTTTCTACCTTGGAAGAAGTGGACCGCTGGAATGTAGTTGCTGTCGTCGTTGATGGCGCCGTTGATATCCATCTGTTTGGTCCTGAATATTATACTGTTGACAGCTTCCTCATCAGAGGAGAGGGTCAGCGTCGACCCAATGGACTGCAGCCTTTCTGTAGACAATATTGCGTCTCTCTGGGCATTGTACCACGCCGGCACGGACTGAACGTTGCTTAACATTGTCAGCCAGACCAAACTAATAAAGACACGCATCGTGATCTTAATCTCCTTCAACTGAAATATATAAGAGATGAATTATTGTCTGGTTCTGTGTCGCAAATACGAACTGTCTGTGTGCGGTAACGTGCATACCGGAAACGTTCGTAATATCCAACATATACACATGATCATTAATCACGCATCGCCCACATTTATTAATTGCGAAAACACTACATGTTGTTATATATGCTTTGAAAACCGAATTCGCGTATTAAAATGGTGACTGTAACATACTTTAAACGGATTAAAGCAAAACCAAAATTGAATTGGAAAGGACAAGGTATGATAAAGGCCCTTATTGGCCCAACAAAATTTCATGATATTCAAAGTTCTACAACGGGATAGTTTTAGCATCAAGAAGGCTAAATAAATTGTTGAAATTACCTCCAATTGCTTTTTTATGTTTTAGTGCTGTTTTCTTCTTCTTTGAAGACCTCAAAGTTAACATATTTTACAATATCTTCTAAAAACCTACATTTTCTTATTTTCAGTGTGAAAAAAAAGTGTGAGCAAAAGCATGACCCATCCCAATTTTTTCACCACACATGAAGAGAGTAAATAAGAATGCACACTAAAAAAATTGTTGTGGGTCACGCTTTTGCTCATATCAAAATGTTTTAAAAAGTACCTTTGTTCTGTTATATGAAATTGCCCCATACAACATATCAAAAAAAAAGATTGGCGTAAAGTAATATCTTTGAAAACTATCCGTCACATTTACACAACTATACCATGATTCATTATTTATTTTGAATTTTTGGAGCACTAAATCAACTTATCAAACATGTTTATTAAAACATTTTCAATATCATAAGGGACTCTCAAGGCTGATTACTTTGAGGTAAACAAGGGTAGTTTTTGGACACCCTGTTGATCTCTGCTGGAAAAGTAAGAAGACATCAGAAGATTTTTCAAAATATGATCAGGCAGCATTCTAAAGGTGAGAATCTGTGTAATTATTCTAGAATTTTATCATATTTGGTTTATCATCTGTTTATCAAACACCTCTGAGTCACCTGTCACTGTCAAATAACACTGTCATTCAACAGGATGTAACTGTGTATAAACATGCAAATTTTAACAAAAATAATGTATCTTGATGTTTTCTAGGATATATTAGATTACATTTAACCAAAATGACTATACTTAACTGTGTGAAAAGTTTACTGTTAGAATAAGAACATTGTATCAAGGTCTAGCAGATGATGGACGTAAGCAGACGCCAAGTGACACATTGTTGCAAGGTGTAATGTATAAGCTTAAGTGACAAGCGATAATAGTAGAATTTGTAGCCTAGTGGTTACAATGATGGCCTGTCATCTTTTTCTATTATCAGACATGCAGGTTCAAATCCTGGTAATTTCTTTTTTTCTTTTTCTTTTTTTCTCAAAAGATTGGTCAGCCAATTTACAATGTTTAACTTAACTTGTACACATGACATCAAAATCCAAATTTTATAAAAGAATTCTTAAGTTTGTTAATCTATGTTACACTGTTCAAACAAACTTGAATTAACATCATGTAAATCTTTTTAAGCGTAAAGACACTGACTGTTCCACTCTGTCTCGATGCCTTTGTTCCCACACAATAAAGAACACGGAGAAGGTAAGCATTGTTTCAAAATGTTAGCATTGTATTTTCTTTAATTAAATATTTACAAATTGCCCAGAGCTGTTAATTAGTGGTATGAAAATAAGTAATGTTACCCTTGAATAAGATTATCGAACTGTTTAAAACAGAATTTACTATTGATATAAAGTCATCTGTTTTTCAGTTGAGAAGATCTGGGTATGGCTGACACCAAGACAAGATGCCTGTTTCCAGCGATACACTGTTGAATGCTGCAGTTCTTGACAGTGATTCGGAAACTGAGATTGAAGACTATGTGGATGAAGAGTGAAAGGGGATGCTTTACATCTTTGCAGTGAATGAGTTGTGAATAGTTACTTTTTGAAGATTTTTTAATACTGACTTTTAACACTAACATGGTGTTAAAATCAAGCTGTGCCAAGAATCTAATTTCACCCGAAATGGGCCCCTTTGAGGTCAAGACCTGTGATGTTTAGTGCAGGTGGATTGTCTATTGTAACAATATGTTGTGAATGAGATGTTTACTGTATATTTCCAAGAATGTTTGTGAATACTGACGTTTAACACTTACATGGTGTTAAAATCAAGCTGTGCCAAGAATGCAATTTCACCCAAAATGGCCCCCTTTGCGGTCAAGACTTGTGATATTTAGTGCAGCATGATTGGTTATTGTAATAACATGTTCTGAATGAGATGTTTACAGTATATTTCCTAAAACTTGTTGTGAATACTGACTTTTAACTCTTATTTGTTAAAATCAAGCTGTGCCCAAAATGTAATTAGACCCAAAATGGGCCCCTGTGATTTTTAGTGCGACATGATTGGTTATCATAAGTGCATGTTGTAAAATTGACCTATAGTTTATATTTGCAAAGAAATTTGTGAACAATGAGTTTTTTTTAAACAATTGGCAAGTAATTGAATTACTGTCCACAATGTATTGCAACCCTAATTGGGCCTCTTGAAGTTAAAACCTTGTGATTGATATTGACATGTTTCTTGATCATGGAAACCTGTTATAAAACTGATGTTATTTGTATGTTAATAAACTCATTGTTGTAAATAAGTCATTATGGCACACTGATAGTTCAGACTTCTTTGGTTTTTTCCATGGGAACTGATAAAACCCATTTTGGGCCCCTTTGCATTGAAAATTACGGCCTCAGATCATTTAAAAAATAACTTTTTGAGGCAAAGCTATCTTGTCTCTAAACAAATAACATGTGTTCAGGCAATTCTGTTTGTGGGCCAAAACCACCCTTATCATACCTTATCCTTTGGTAACAGTTTATTGCAATCTGAGAGTAGTACACAAAAACATGAATATCTACAAGTGTGGTCACCATGACTACGTCACCAATCTGATTGTCACACACGTCTCAAGAAATGGTTGTTTTGATTAAATGAACCACCACAGACGAGTTAGAACTCCGTCATGAGGGTCATTGGTCTTCCTCAGTGTGGTTAATGTTCAAGGTACGAGGGGATATCAAAAAGTTTTGAGCCTAAAATGCTTCTGATATTTGCATGATAAAAATAACTGTATGATAGTGAAGAATGGTTTATATCATTCACATAAACGTAATGTTGACATGCACATGTTGCTAGTTCCGGTCACATGATATCTATTGAAACGGCAGAAATGGATAGGCTTGAGTACAGAGCAGTACAGTTTTTGGTCCTCGAAGGCCACCCGGCGAACGACATTCAAGAGCGATTGACGGCAGTTCGAGTACTGTGTCCCATAGAGGCGGGTTTACCCCTGAAGATAGTATGGCTTTGAACAAAAACATTTGGAAGTATTTGCTTGGAGCATTTTTAGTTCATTAAAATAAGTGGAAAATATCACTGAACCTCCCAAAAATTGGTACAGAAATGGTTTTGTGTTTATATCGTTTACAATAGTTATGTAAACAATATATAAAAAGTCTTCCCTTGGATGTTGATGCTAAGTGGCTTTTGGGGGGCAAAAACTATGAAAAATGGTATTTTTCAATTATTGTTTTTGAATCTGAAAACAAGTCCAGAAAATGGTATAAAATCTTGCAAAACATACAACTGAAGCGTACCAAATAGTAAATAATGAAAATTAAAGCTAAAATAATTTATGACATGAGGTTTGAACTTAGATTTTGGACACTCCAGCACACTGGAACAAGTAAATGAGAGTTATCTCCCCTTTGTTTACACTAGACTGAAGTAGCAGAATGTAAACGAAAGATTACATCTTTTATAAAACTCTAACTAGATAAGGCTATAGTTAGCCAAATAGAAAAATTATTAAAAAGATAGCTAAAAGCTACAATTAAAAGAGATGAGGAGGAGGACCGAGGTGATTCTGCTCCCATAATTTGCCCACAGAACTATATGCACTGCGGTCGTGTAAGACTACGTACTTTGGTGATAAATGGGACATTCTGTATCAAGATTAGCAGAACGTGAAGACACATATGCCAGAATGATAGATTAGGAAAATATATGATACCATTTATATTTTCTATGCTATTAATTTTAAAACAATTTCAAAAGGTGATTGAAGGATAAGTTCGTTAACTTAAACTGGCAACTACATATTATTATGTGAGCAGAGTGAGTGAGTATGTTTCTACGCCGCCTATTCCAGCAATATCACGGCCGGGGACAATAGAAATGGGCTTCACACATTGTACCCATGTGGGGAATCGAACCCGGGTCTTTGGCATGACGAGCGAACGCTTTAACCACTAGGCCACTGTCCCCACCCATCAGTGGCCTCTCCCAATCTTGTTTCACGCCCCAGTTACCTCATTAATTAGGTCATGTGGTCAGACCTTAATTAGGTTATGTGGGTTTTTACAGGTGTGAATTTTAGGCCAGGTGGGCTGTAACCTAAACATTGGCGTCCCTTGTTAAGTTCCACTACTGTTATCTCATCATTGATGCCTGGATTAATCCCTAGCTTCTATTTGTCCATTGCTGTTACCAATTACCTACTGGCTCCCCTTATCCCTTCCAATCATATCACTGTTGTAGTTTCACATGTACAGTGCACTCTGTCAAACTCGGACTCTGTCTTTCTCGGATTGCTGTATAAACAGAACTGAACTCACGGTCCCGGGGTAATCATTCTTTGTTGTCATAATAAAAACGTTCTGTATCTCGGACTCTCATTATTTCGGATTAATAAGGTAATTACATGTAAAAACATTGCTATATAATTCGGACTGAGCAGGAAGTCCGCTTGGCCAATAAACCTTGAATAAACCATCCGTTGATTGGTTTGTATATTTTGTCTTATTTACTTAGCAGGCCGTCCGCTTGGCCAAGCCCGCGTGGTCTAGCGGTGAACGCTTATTTACCTTTGATGCGACTAACACCAGTTGTAAACTATAATTGAGCCGATCATGTCAACTCAGTGTCAATGTCACTATGCATTTAAGATGCCATCAGACACAGTGTGATATCAATCAGTTGTAAGAAGCGATTTTATTGGATAAAGATTGGTTTCTAATGACGCTTTTTCGCCACAGTCTGCTTTAAGGGTCGTGATTGGTCAAAATCAGACACATGACCTAAGGCAGCCAATCATATTACGGCAATGGATACCGTCCTCGTAAACGAAAACTTTTAGATTTAAACAAAAGTTTTGGGTAAAATAATGCTATTCCGAACATATTAAGTAAGAAATTGCTACCTATACGTAAATTATGGAACGTATTCGACTTATTGTGCTAGGCTATGACCTGTGACAAAAATGCTTCATTCATACATTTTCGCATTGAACATCGTGTCCGAGCGTGAAGATTGAGGCAGCGAGAGCCGAGATGTCACTTGTCAGTGACTTGACTTACATTACATGATCGCACAAAAAGATGGAAAAAGTAATTTTATATGTACGTTTGACAACTTTTATGAATGTTGTTGTTGATTTCATTCATTAGTTTTTTGAATTTATTTCATGAATTCCTCGAAACATCGTTACTTTGCTCTTTGACAATGTTATTGTGGACCCGCTGCCGAAGCAGGTGTCCGAGAATCGTTGTTTTCAATAACATTGCGAAAAATAGTTTATAATTTTAATTCTGCTGATAATGGGGAGATAACTCCATTAAAATCTGTGTACTTCGGTCTACTGTATAATTCGGACTTTTTAACCGGTCCCAAGCTGGTCCGAATTAGACAGAGTGCACTGTACTTCTATAGCAACCTGTTTCCTAATTGGTTTTCATTCACCTGATCAAGGAGAGAAGTTAGATGTCCATCCATAAATTCTCGCCTTTAAAAGTATCTTCATTCTTTTCAACAAACGGCATTTCGCCATATGACCGACAAATAAGCAACGTGACATGTGTCGCTAGTTTCCACATTGAAATGACCCTCTTATGAAAGACGAATGTAATAATGACTGAAAACTTACCTAAATCTTCAAACAAGTGAAGTTTTGTCCTTCCCTGAAGTGAGGCTGTTCACTGATATCAGTTCTTGATCACCCTGACATGGGCACTGACATAACAAGCTATGTTCTGTAATGTCAAAAACGACCTACATATACTAGTATACCCGTGTAAGTGGCGACACGTGGCGGTGATTCACTCTACAAAGGCTCCAGTTGTTCGCAATGTTAGATGTTAAATGTGTGTGGACAATACTGATGTACTGTTTGAATGTTAACTACAATTTACCTTCAGTCTGCTTGCAGCTTGACTCGGGCTGGAGATGTAGTTATTTCGAACTTGTACCTTTAAAAAGAGTCTCTACTAATATGAATATAAGACACATTTAAATAGATAGTATGCTGCTGAAATGCAGATAATTAAATAAATAAGATTCCATGATTTGGCACGAATGTATTTTGTTCATTTAAAAAATATAAATTAGAAAAGTCATCGTCTGGGATTCAGAAATGAGGTGACGAGTTCCATTCCTTTCAGTTGTTTAGATATTATCTTGACGTGAAACCTCATTCTCTGAAAGTGGAGTTTGTAAGAGAGTCCGAACACTTGTTGTTGCCAGAGGTAATAGAAAGATGAGGAAAAATAGTATTTCTTAATTAAAGTTCAAAGGTAATTCTGTTCAGTATCAATTCAACTGCGATTGTTTGGATTCTCTAGATATTTCTTCTTTGGGGGAAAAACAATTCTGCTGTTATCGGAAAGAGGACCATAATTGCTTAGCTGACAAATCTCCAGCTTGCTTGGCAGTGGTCAATGAGCTGGAAGGTTATGACATCGCCTCTGATTCCGAAGAGAAATGTCAATACCAGAGGGCGAAAATCAAGGCTCTATGGGGTCGAATAGTAGCATGTGGCAGCGGGTTCAATCCTCTGTCGTCCCAAGTCCCTTCGGGTCAGTTCAGCTTTCTACATGAATATACGCCTATTGGGGATAAGGAAACTAGAGACCGTCCTGTTCAGTTAATGCAGGTCGTCAAGGCTAGAAGGCAGTATGTCAAGCAAAGTCAAATGAATATACTATACGACAAGGTGTCGGACAAGGAAGGGTCTTGTCCTCCTGGTTTTTTTTACTTTTTATCAATGACTTAATATGTGAACTTAGAACCTCAAACAATGGTACACTTATTTCTACTTCTCCTAACGGTCTACAGTCGTCACTTGATACTGTGTATAGCTATGCTCGTAAGTGGCGGCTTACATATAGGTTCAAAGAGTACTTGCAATATATTCCGTAAATCTAAGAACGGCCAAGGTCATGATTCTTTCAAATTTGGCGAAACAGATATTGCAATAAGTGATAGTGTCAAATATGGAGGTATCATGCTTTCCTCTGATTTATCCTCCAAGTCTATACTGTACGCATATTGTCAAAAAGCACGACAATCTGCAAACTCCCCTAAGTAATCTCGGCTAATCTAATGTTTTACCTATTCCGCATGGTAAAGACTATGAATTGGTCGAATGCACGCAAAGATACTTTGCCACATGTACTCGGGGTTTGGCAAACGTTTTTCATCTGCCTCGGTGCTAGGAAACCTTGGTATGTGGAGTATGGATGGCTACATAGAAAAATGTAAACTGATATTTCTTGGTAGCTTATGCAACAGCCAATGCAACTCCTCCTTTAAGGATTTATTCTGTGCCCAATTAGCCACATTTCAAAATAGAACAACAGCGTTACATAGTATATGTGACACGCTTCTAGAAACCATCCTAAAATAAAATCGGTTTAAATATGTGAGTGACTGTCTTGAAATTGTCAAGTTTCCATGTAAATCCTCATGACATAAATGTATGTTTATCCACGATATAGAGACATCTTACAATTTTGTATACAAATCAATTCTCGAGCATAATTTCAAAATATTGTGATCTCTGTGAAAGACACTGTAATTGACTATGACTACCATATAATTCTACATTGTGAACATTATATGTACAACAGGAATCAGTTCTTTTCCAAACTTTTAGATCTTTTTCATGTCAATGTGTCTGTACAAATAGAATTACTGCCATAAGGTGAAATGCTGTCTCTCTTTTCTGGAGGTGAAATACAGATTACTGAGCACACAGATGAAATGTCATGGAGATGTATGATTGTCCTATTTTGTAAATATCTGTATTCAATGGTATACTCACTCAAGTGTGTATTTTGCTCTGTACATGCATATACCCGCCTTGTGAATTTTTTGTTGTGAATATTTCATGCATATATGTTTCTAATCCTCGGATTGAAATCTGGAGGAAATACGGATATCATTCAATCATTCTCATTCATTCATTCGTCATCCTCACGGTTATCGACAGTGTTTCAGTGTTACAGATAACAATTACAGAGCTTCGTCATGGCTGCTCAGATACAGTTGGTACTTGCAATAGTGAAAACGATTCCATTTCAATGAAAAAGTTTGTTCATGCTGCTAGGGCATCGGATAGCATGGGCAAGGTTCTGGTAACACATCCCTTCGGGCCATCAAATCACAGTTTTTCAAAAACACATGTTTCAGATGTGGACACAGACAGAAAACAAGATAGCCTTCAACAAAGACCAGTAAGACTCCAGCATATTCCTGTAGGTCTATAAAAGGAAAAATCGGTGCCCAGAACTTCTGAATACTATTATACATTTAATTTATATCCAAATAAATCTGATGCAAAAATACTTACAGAATGATTGTGTAAAAGAAGACTTTAGTATATATTCGCCTCCACAATTGCTACTGGGATTGGATCCAGATCAACATCTTCAAGATTACTGGATGATGACTCCATTTTTAAAGCAGAGGCTAATATAATGAAACTCTGAAAAGCAAAACGATTGGAGTTTGGGTTGGGTGTCAGAGTCTTGCTCCTATGTTATGTCAGGTTAAGGCATTAGTTTTGGTGACTGTGTTCTGCTATAAGTGCTCCATGTAATGCCTTTTGGTTTCGTTTTTAGATAATATACTATTAAGATTTAAAATCTTTCAATTACCTATCAAACAATCGTAAAAAACAAATCTCGGTTGTTGTGCAGTATACCATACACGTGTCTTTTTCTTCTTTATTTGGATGCAGAAATGGCGGAAAAATTGACGAGCACCGTCAAGATTTACAAAGTTCGATGGACCATAAAATTTCTAAGTTTTGGATTGTTCATGAAGATTCGAGCATGCCTCACTTGTGGCGGAGGCTATCGAGAAGTTAAAACGTAGAAATAACCTTATCAAAATTGCCGATTTCTCCGACGGAGGCATGCACATTTCTGGTTAGAAATGTATTGGAAGCTGCTAAAGGCAAGTTTGCAAAGTCAGTTTGCAAAAGAGAACCGGTTACTATTGAGTTATTGAAGAGAGTTTATGAAGCTAGAATGTGTCAACCCTTTTTGGCTGATTTGAGAATTGTTACCATGTGGTTGCTAGCATATTTGAGGTCAGCAGAACTCTTAAATATTGCCAGATGTGATGTTGTTTTCTACGATACTCATATGATGCTCTTCATAGAAAAGCCCAAGACAGATGTGTATAGAGACGGTTCCTGGCTGGTTATAGGCAAGACAAACTCCAAATTGTGTCCAGTATTCTGTTTACTGAAATATCTAGATCATGCTACCATTCCACCGGATTCAGATGCGTTTGTTTTAAGAAATTTATCAAAGACCAAATCCGGCTACATGTTGAGAAAAGACAATACTCAAATGTACACAAGGTTACGAGAACTATTTAGAGAGACATTCAATCCGTTTGTCTAGGATGAACGGTTTGCACAGTCTCCGTAGTGCGGGGCGTCTGCGAAGCAAACAACGGTGTTCATGACAGAATGTTTAAACGACAAGGAAGATGGAACACTGAGCACGCAAAAGATGGATACGTTAAGGATAGTTTGAACAGCCGTGTGAAAGTGCCACTATCGCTAGGGCTTTGAAACCCGACTTTCTTTGAACCTCTTGCAATGTTATACAAACACATCCAGTCCAAGGTTCAGTGATGTTGTGTTGTCTGTGTACGTGCGGAAGGGGTGCAGGAGAAATATTGTTTTCTTCATTTGGAGAATGAATTAGAGGAAAATTAATTTCTACCAGCCGTGAGCAAAGAATCAAAGGGCAGCTAAATCCAGGGGCGCTAGTGGTCCTAGCGGGGTAAGGGTGAGAGATTTCATGGTTCGATTCTCTCGGCTGTCGTGCAATACCATACACGTATCTTTTTAATATTCAGATAGTTAAATCATGAATGTGTTTTGTATTCATTATCATCATGTAACTGTGTTGTGTTCTCTGTTTCTGTAATGACTGAGGGTAACATATGTCATATTTGGGATTCCGCTTTCTAAATGGCATTTTGTATTCTTGACTGAGGGTATGCTGATGTGTTACCAACAGAGTTATCACTTCATGCATAACGATAACACCGCATATGGGGAGAGCTGTCCGTTTATGGATGAATTTAGCCGTTATGGCAGGTGCTGCTTGTTTATGGCGATGTCATTTCCCAACTGGTGGGGTTGTGAATGTGTTTAATATGTCATGTGAAATAAATGATACAACTGTATATATTTATGTATAGTGCACAGTGCATATATCTTTATTTCCTGAAGTGATCTAAATTAAAGAAAACTACATCTGACATTTAACGCATATATATGTATTTGCTAATGATATATACAATAAATGTATGATTTCACCATACTTGTCAAATAATTCATATTCGTGTATTTGTTGATGTTATATGCCACATTGTGTATTTGTTGATGATACATGCAAAATTAGTAAACTTTAAAATGTCACCATATTTGTCAATAATTCATATTCGTGTATTTATTGTATTTGCGGGTGTTAAATGCAATATACAAAATGCAATAAACCTTACCGTTTCTCCTCATTTGCTGACATACGTGCAATTATAATAATCTGATGTCATAATATACGTGCTGTAGGCGCAAGGCCAGGGTAATTTAATATTTATTGAATATTGAGCCATTTTATATTATGCCACAGCACAGAGAGTATTACTTCTATTGTCCCGTGAAATAATGTGATAAATATGCAGGCTGATACAGTGAACAGACATCGATCTACTGATACGACTTATGAGTTGTGGATATACAGAGCATAAATAAACTCTCAAATGAAGCAGACTATTCAATATTTTCAAGGATGGGATGATGTTTCCAAATTTGAATGTATTCGCCATTCTATCGAGCAATATGTTTCTGGTCCGTCAATAGCCATGATATTTTGGCATATATTATCTCATTACATATCAGTGACATTATCTATGCTACA